TATTTTTTTAGCAGCAGCAGCTGGGAATGTTGATTGTTATGTGACCTCCTACCTGACTCAACAGAAGCTGGGAAGCTGCTGGCACTAATAAAAAGTAGATCTCCCACCTGCCAAAAAAAACACCACACCAAAACCCCTCCTCGAAGTTCCTCGGTTTTAGTCACATTTAGTCTCCAGCCGCAACACACCAGGGGCTCTGAATGAAATTCAAGAAAAAGGACTGCCTTGCAGACCTATATGCTCTTGTCGTATTTCTCTGTATCATCTTGCGCAGGTTACAAAGGAACCAAAGAGATGGTGAGGAAGATGGCTGGGTAAGATAATGTAAGAATTAATGCATAATTTTGTATACTGGCTCATTTTGTATAATGAGATTCATTGTGGAGTAGTGGTCGGTGTCAAATTGGGAGCTGGGAGGCCAGAGTTCAAAACAGTTGTACCAGTTCAATTCAGCTATAGAATCATAGAATTGTAGAGTTGGAAGGGCCCACAAGGGTCATATAGTTCAACCCCCTGCAGTGCAGGGATATTTTCACAATGCAGAGCTCAAACCCATGATCCTGAGATTAAGAGTCTCATGCTCTAACAACTGAGCAATCCCAGGTCATCTATACCTTTGATGAAAACCACAGGAGAGGAGAGTGTTACTGTACCCTCTGATCTTGCTTGCAGGTTTCCCATAGGCATCTGGTTGGCCACTGTGAGAACAGGATGCTGGACTAGATGGACCTGATCCAGCGGAGCTCTTCTTATGTTCTTAAATCCCAGCTCAGCCATGAAGTTCAGTGGGTGATTTTGGGCCAACTACTGTCTGCCAACCTAGCCTGACTCACATGATTATTGTGATGATAAAATTTAGAGGGGGAGAACAATGTACTCCCATCTATAGCTCCCTGGAGGGTAGGTGGATATAAATGCACCCATTAATTAATTGAATTAATTTTACAAAACAAGTTGGCAGTTGTTGCTTTGAGATCCAGGCAGCAGAGGTCAAGGGATGTTGCAAGGAGACAGTAATTTAATGAATGAGGAAATAGCACAAGCATTGCTACAACACTAGCTAACCTTCTCTGGAATTACTATCCTAGGTTCACTCACTGTTTATGGATAATCCAATCATTAGCAAATCATAGCATCTTAAGTGTTCTCTATTTTGTCCTACTGTGAGGGGTCTCAGCTGTTTATTACTAATTTTTGAGGGAGATGGGGAATACAGTTACTGCAATACCACTGTCAGGGGCAAGCCAGCAGTAAATCACACCGTGCAAGTTGAAGTTAACTCTTTGTTAGCAAAAACACACTCTGCACAGGAGTATCAGACTTAATGAGCATGGCAACTCAACTCCAGTAGGTCTTGCCCCCATGAATCAGTCACAGAAATTGAAGGTCCCCACAGCAGTGGTGTGCAGTGAAGCTTTTAATAGGGGAACAGTTAGGGTCAGAGGCACCAGCTGGCAAGGGTGATGGAGGAGGGCATCGTCCTGACATTGTGTGTGTAAACATTGTGGCTCCCTCCCTAGGTCAGGCAGAAGCTTCCCAGACTTTGCGGAGGCACCAGGCTTTAATAGTTTAATCCTCTAATTTACTAGGAACATTTAGCCTAGTTCCCCTAGTCCACTGACCGCATGCCACTGGGGCTCCTCCTCACCAGGGTTTTTTCCAAGCAATCAGAGACTGCGTTTGCACATCTCCAAACTCTCCTCTGCCCTTTTCATGCCTCTACTGGTTCTGGGAGACAAGGGGAGAGGGGAGCTTGTCACAGCAGGAGGGAGAGACACCCATGACTCCAGCCTGTGACCTCTCTGCCTTTTGGCTCCCCTCCTCTCCTGCTTCAGCTTCTGCCTCTGATTCTGGACTTCTCTCTGCCACAGACTCTCCCACCTCACTAAGCCCTGTTATCTCTTCAGCTTTTGACACCTTCTCTTCCCAGTCTTCTCCCTCTGACCACTCATTGTTCTCCCACCACCATTCCCTGGGCAACCTTCTTTCCTTGTTGGTTCCCCAGCTGGTCCCTCCCCACCAGTCCATGACATTGCATACAGTATAATCTGGCAAAATTCTTTTAAGGCAACTGTTCCTTTAATTGAAAGCTTCCTGTTTGCTTGTTCTACCCATTTTATTTCTTCCTATACAGCTTATCTTGGGGATTAGTGATTAACAGTTCTTTTATTGTTCCTTATTATTCGCTTCTGTTTCCTGCTGAGGGAAGAGTTAGTTTTCCTCTTCTTTTATAATGAAATAAAACATCAAATACCATGTAGGTATCCTCCTCTTGCTTTAAGATGGTAGTGGATTTGGTACTAGGAGGGCCCGTGCATTCCAACACTAAGCAAGGGATGGGGAACCTGTGGGCCGCCAGATGTTATTGCAACTCCCAACATTTCTGGCCATGCTGGCTGGGGCTGATGGAAGTTGGAGTCCAACAATATCTTTAAAACCACTTGTTCCCTAGCCTTGCAAACAGCCGCTCATTGAGCAAGGGGGACATCACTGAGAAATTATTTTCCAACTGTAGTGCATTTCTGTGAATCACCCTCTAGCTTCTGGTCACATGACATTTGTTGCAATTAAACTGGACAGCATTTCTGATAACCGCTTGCTCTGAAAACTAGGCCTACCACTTGTTGTTGTTTTGTTATAATCAGCACTTATTTGTAGACTATTAAAAATAAATGAGCCCAGAACATTAGATGGGGTGTGGGAGCCTAGGCTGCTTTTTAAAAAAAATAAAAATGGCCAGGTGGCAGCCCTATTAGGAGCATGGGATTAACTCATTAGTACAGCTTCAGAAAGGCCACAAGGCCTGTAAGCAGAAAACCTGCTTACTTTTATCTTTTCACTAGCTCTCCCCTTCCTAAAATATAATTAAATATGGTACCAGAGGAAACAGATTCCCAAACAGGAACATGTTTAGCATGAGTAGTCTATATTCAGTCATCGAGTTAGCAATTTTATGATCATTGCATATTTTTATCATGGACGGGGAAACTGGCCTTCCAGGTGTTGCTGGACTAAAACTCCCATCATCTCTTACAATATTGTGTGCCCCCCCCCTTTGTATGTCAGAGGGATAGCTAAGAAATGATAGAAATTGTGGCTGTGCATTCTTTATAAAGGTGACATTGTCATTAGTTACTATGATTGTTCTGGATTTTCTGAATGCTTTGATCAGAATTAATTTTTAAAAATTGTTTCTCTTGAAATATTTTCATGGATAATAAAGGTACATATAATGTCTCTGTTCTCAGCTCGTAGAGTCCTTTCTATGGGTGTCCTTTATATTTGGTGTGAGAAACTGCTGTCATGGGCATTGTGAGGTAGTAGCGGAGAGAATCGAGCAGAGGGGAAGAAGAGATAATGAGCTTTCATTCTTTTGCATAGTGTATGTGGGGGGGGGGGCTTGTGTTAGTGTCACATAGATCCTCATGCATTCTTTTGTCAGTTTTCATTGGCGGTGAGAGAGATTGGGGAGCCCAGAGCATGGTCGGTTGCATTCAGTTGATTGCACTGAGTTTTGTTTGTGTGTGAGAGGGGGAGGGTGTTGTTGGATCAAATCAGCTATATTGATTTGTATGCTCTTGGAGGGTTATGTTATTGTCTTGTTGGGCAGGAACACTGGGGTGAAGGCATCCTCTTTTATTTGTCCCTGGGCTAATTTCAATTTGTTGGTTAGCTTTTCTACAAAGGGCTGTTTCCCATAGAGTTTGGTACCAGTGGTCCACGTTCACTCTGGACAGGTCCCCCCAGTGTTTTGTTACATATATAGTCATACCTCGGGTTACAGCCACTTCAGGTTGCGTTTTTTGGGGTTTCGGTGGTTGCGCATGCACAGAAACGCTAAATCACGCTCTGTGCATGCGCAGACGCGGGTTGCGAACACTGCAGGTTGCAAACGTGCATCCCACATGGATCACGTTCACAAACCGAGCTTCCACTGTAATACATCTGCATGTTTGCTATGAAGCTGAATCTTAGTGGGAAAGGGTCTGATCTGACGAGAAGGGTTAAAAACATTACTAAGCTGGAGTTACCACGAGCAAGAGACATTGTCAAGCTGGAGTTATCACGAGGAGACAAGGGAAATTACAGTTATAAGTATGAAGAAGAGCTGCGGAAGGGCCATGGAAGTGACTTGAGGGCCTCGGACATAAGGTTACCGGGTTAATAAGGACTGACAAATCCCGGAACCAGGAGAAAGGGACGTTGGATAAAGATTGGACTTGTTTATATCTTTCTTTCTCTTTTTTTATTATTAGAATGTTTTACAAAGTTGATGAATGATAGAAAAATGTTGGAAGAAATTACCTGGCTTTAGTAAAGATGCATAAAGAATTATGAAAGAATATTATTATTATGATCACAAGAAGCTGGTAAGGTTAAGACTTAAGTTTTAAACTTTAAGGTTTACTTTATTATAGAAAGATAGGATTAAATTAGTCGAGGGTAAGGTAATGATAGAATTTTATGAAACATGGGGAAAGGATTTGCTGGGATAATTAATAACTAGAATACAAAGGAAGGGAGGAGGAGGAGGTCTAAGAAAGAAGGTAATGACAGTTAAGGGTCTGAAAATAATGAATTTGTTTTGTTTTTTCTTTATTCTTTTTTCTGTATTTTCTATTTTTCTGTATTTTTATTTTTTGTACTTTTACTCTTTGTTTTTGTGTAATTTTTGTATCCTTTGAAAATTTTTATAAATATCATTAAAAAAAAAAATATGAAGCTGAATCTTAGGCTCATGTGCTCCCCCATTCTCCTCTGTGACACCTGTGAGGGACAGAAGCTTCCCCTCCTGTTTTTAGACTAACACAGTTTGTTGTGACATTTTAACCCAGACAAACTGTAGTTTATGAAACCAGCTTGTTTTAGTAAAGAAATTATTACGGTTAACCATAGTTTGTACGTATTACTAAATTGTGGTTAATTAAAAACAGAAGTGGGAGCTTCCTATCTCCTCCTGGGTTCATGCCAGAAGGGGCTGGAGATGGAGACACTTGCAAGGCTCAGGCTCACACAGGGTTGCCAGAACATGAGACTCTTAATCTCAGGGTTGTGGGTTCAAGCCCCACCTTGGGGCAAAAGATTCCTGCATTGCAGGGGGTTGGACTAGATGGCTCTAATGGTCCCTTCCAACTCTACAATTCTATGATTCTATCATAGCAATAAAATCATGGTTCCAAAGGCATGCATTGTGATTTATTGCTGTTTCCTTTTTCTAAAAATTTGCAACACTTTTATTATTTGGCATAATGATTCAGAAGGTGGGGGGGCACAGATTGTCATCCTTCCCTGAATTCCATTTTCTATGACTCTTCCAGGCCTCAACTGTGTCTTATGCTGAGTCACACTGCATGCTCCCAGCTCTTATTGCTTGGTTGGTCAGTGGCTACAGCTAGCCCCATGTAGTCCCCTGCTTCAGAAAGGTGCTGTGGAAGTGACACCCCAGGCTTTTTCAGGGGTGACAAATATAACTGAATTTCAGCATTCCCTTTGCCTAAAACATCACAAACTGTTCGCTCATGGCAACCCGTTGCTTGGGTTTAAATCCATTTCAGCAGAACCCAAATGTACCACACAGTCATGGAACTTATTAGTTTCTCTTTCTTCATAGCCTATTATGCATTTTCCTTTTTTCCTTTTTTTTTACTAAAAGGAATAATTGCCATCATTTGAGATTTTATAAAGCAATAAACAGTCCTTGATTACTCAGCACTTTCTGAGAATCCATTTGCTAATAATTATATGGTATTCATAAGGAAAGCAATGGAAAGTTAACACGGTTACACTAAATTCAAATTAAAACCAGCTTGGCTCTCTGAATTGGCTTTTTTGGGTTCATTAGTATTGCCACAAATCAGACTGAAAGGAGAAGGGGACTTGGTAGAAATAATATGGTAGCTATTCAAAATATATATATTAAAATGTATTAACTTGCATGTTAAAATAGACTTTTTATCATTGCTCTTATGAACATTTATTCTTCTGTGCCAGGAATTAATATAATGTCACGGTATATATAAAGTCAATAGAAGGGCACACAGCATACGGCTTTCTTGGTTGTGGAGTCTAGCCTATGAAAATCTCTACCCAATAATGTTCATCTGGCTATCTCCCAATAAAACTGTTATTTGGGGAAGTGTTGTAGCTCAATGAGAGAGCACCTGCTTTGCATGCAGAAGGTTCCAGGTTCAATCCCCAAGTAAGGCTGAAAACCTAGGGAGCCACTGCTAACCTTTCCTCATAGGGTAGTTGCTGCATCCCCTTAATCACTGTGCTTGCCCTTTTCTGCTTTTTTCAGCTCTGCCCCTCTTCCTTCGTTAGTAGTAAAATGCCTGATATTCTTATGTATGCATATTCTTGCGGTAGTAAAATGTCCAATATTGCCATCCACAGAGAACGTGATCACCTTTTACTTTCTCCGCTCTTCTTCTGCATAATTAACCCTTATGGGGTTAATTCCTGTTGATGCAGGAAGAAATTGTATATAGGAGAATTCCTGAATGCCAACATCCAAGTTTGGGGAAAGTACCCTTTGGTGAGAATTATCCCAGCAGAGATTTAAAATCTCAAAACATGCAAAAAAAAAAAAAAGAGTAAAGCATGGAAATAAAGACTGTAAAACCTTAAAATGTGCCCTTTAAAGTGAGCTCCAAAATGTCCCTTTAAAAGGTTTCTTTCGAAAATTCCCCCCTTCCCCCAGCACAGGAAAAGACCACACGTTTGGTAAGTTAAAAATGGTTTACTTACAAACTTTCCAAAGGTCAAGTTCATGTACTTCAGAGAAGTTGCACAGGCGGAAGAACTTAGCTTAATTACAAACTGTTGAAAGTTCCTAAATTCTTGGAATAGGAACTCAGGAATGAGAGCCATGCAGCTGAGCTGGAGCAACCAGCTCAAACCTCTTCCCACATTGAGCTTCTCAGGTAGACTGGGAAAGAACAATAGGCTTGATTACCTATTTCCTTCCAAGCTAAGGGGAAGTGACCTAGCTAAGCCTGGCAGGACAGTTTAGTCTATGATATTAACCCCTTCATGTGTTAATTAGTCTTAAGCATGTTGGTTATATGATACTGGTTGTCCCACACTTTAAAAAATAAATAAATTAGGACTCCTGACAGTTAAGTCCAGTTGCGAACGACTCTGAGGTTGCAGCGCTCATCTCGCTTTACTGGCCGAGGGAGCCAATGTTTGTCCACAGACAGTTTTTCCAGGTCATGTGGCCATCATGACTAAGCCGCTTCTGGCAAAACCAGAGCAGCGCACGGAAACGCCATTTATCTTCCTGCCGGAGCAGTGCCTATTTATCTACTTCAAGGGTCAGCAAACTTTTTCAGCAGGGGGCCGGTCCACTGTCCCTCAGACCTTGGGGGGGCAGATTATATTTGGGAGGGGGGGATGAACGAATTCCTATGCCCTACAAATAACCCAGAGATGCATTTTAAATAAAAGGACACATTCTACTCGTGTAAAAACTGATTCCCAGACCATCCGCGGGCCGGATTTAAAAGGCAACTGGGCCGGATCAGGCCCCCAGGCCTTAGTTTGCCTACCCATGATCTACTTGCACTTTGACATGCTTTCGAACTGCTAGGTTGGCAGGAGCTGCAACCGAACAACAGGAGCTCACCCCACACTTAGACCATCTCAACTATTAGTCCATCTAGCTCAGTGTGATCTATTTTAACTAGCTGCAGCTCAAACTCAGGGATTCCCTATGGTTTCAGACCACCAACTGTCCATCAGTTTCATTCAGGTGATCCACCATGTGTCTGTAAAAAATACCATTTAGATAGCATCTAGCACAGCACCTTATAACTGCTATGGCATTTTTACTGCTTTTACTGATAACTTAATTTTTTTGTTGTTGTTCTTATTTTAATGTGCTATGAGATTTTATTACAAACAAGTAGTATATCAACACAAAATAAATAAAATAAATATTTACTGAATATGTCAAAATGACTGTGTGCTGTATTTATATTGTGGTGGCCTGTGGTTTTAAAGACTGATGTTTTATTCATTCATTCTTACTGAGGAGCCCCAGTTTTCTGGAGCATTGCTGCTTTTAAGAGGCACTGTTTTAACAGCATTGGAACAGAATCTTGCTGCAGGGATTTTCATAGAAGGCTGGGAGGAAGAGGGAGATGAATGAAGTTTGGTGCCTACAAGCCACACAGCATATAGATCTCAAAGACTTATTGCAGCAAGCCTATCCTCGCTGCCTTACAAAAATAACATTTCATATAATTTTCACAAAGTGCTGTCCTTTAAAAACAAAAGTTTGCTTAAGAGCAGAGGAATTTCTCTGTACCATCAGTTGTTGCAATTGCTCTTTCAGGAAAATTAAAGGGAATACAGAACAATCAGATTTCCCCTGCCTCTTGAATAATTTAAATGGAGCTGTTGCTGGACAAAACAAAACAAAAAATCATGGCAAGACACAAGGGCACTGTCAGTGCTGGAGGTGGGTATACTTGGCCTATGGCATGTGATCTGACATTTTAAAGATAAAGAGACAGATGAAGGCGGTGAAATTTCCTGCAATTGAGAGGAGCCTCTTAACTACTTCAGAAGCAATCCCTGGTTTTTATTTTTATGGCATACACTGCAGCAAATGGTTAGCAATGATTTCAGTGAAATAATTAGAGGTCTCTAGACTAAAAGCTCCTGGTAGAGTAAAACTATTTCAGGACAATACCACTTCAGTCTTGGGAAGGGGAGGTTATTGCATTACCACAAGGGCCCTTCTGAACATCTCTTTTTAGTTGTGTTCACTATGGTGCTGATTGGAGATACGCTACCTCACTTTCAATTCTGTTTGTTCCTGCAGACATATAGGGGCAGACATACTGCTTCATTTCTAATTGGTCCTTCCTGCTGAAAACCTGTAACTTTTCATTCAGCGAATGTTCTGGGCCAGAGCAGGAATCCCACTTTTGTTATGCTATTGCGCAAAAGAGCTCCTCCAGGTAGCAATAACCAGTGCTTTTTTTTCTGGGGAGATGCATGCCCCAAAACATTTTGTGAATCTTTGTACTTTTGTCCCTTTAATGTATTTAGTTTTCCCAATTTGAACTATAAAATGCTGGTTTTCTTGAGTCAAAATGAAAGTACCCCTAAACATATTTTTTTAAGAAAAATATCACTGGCAATAACGCAATAACATTGGGAAACAACTAATAAAATGAAATGATGTATGGACTGTCCAGTATAAATCCACCATGAATGCACCATTATTTACTTACTTACCGTATTTTTCGCTCTATAAGACGCACCAGACCACAAGACGCACCTAGTTTTTGGAGGAGGAAAACAAGAAAAAAATATTCTGAATCTCAGAAGCCAGAACAGCAAGAGGGATCGCTGCGCAGTGAAAGCAGCAATCCCTCTTGCTGTTCTGGCTTCTGGGATAGCTGCGCAGCCTGCATTCACTCCATAAGATGCACACACATTTTCCCTTACTTTTTAGGAGGGAAAAAGTGAGTCTTATAGAGCAAAAAATACAGTACTTACTTACTTACTTTTTTTTTTTTACTTGTTTAGAGCATTGGCTTGCCATTGGTCAGCCAAAACGGCTCCAAGAGCAGCTAACATATAATTGATTAAAGCAAGACAGCCCCTGCAGGCTTACAAACTTGCACGAATGACAAGCTGCAGAATACATGAGGGGAGGGGACCCTGGTCTGAAGGGGCCCCAAATCCTTCCCAATGAAAACGGTTTAAAAAGTCTTTATAGTATGGACCATTCTTGTGTAAGGAGAAAAGCTAGGCTAGGGCACATCACCTACTTTTCTATGTGGATGGGTCATATATGTGAGATAAGACATAGACATGTGTGTAAAGAGTATGGGTTGCTCGTGCGTAAGTTGCTGCCTCTCCTGGCTTTGTTGCCTTGTTAAACCTTTCAGTCTGGACAGCCCTTCACTTCGTGGCTGCCTCAGTCGCTAGCAGAATCCGTCAGTGGGCGTTTCTTAAACCTTTCCCAACATAAAAGTTGTTTGACACCCAGTCTCCTCCTACTCTCCCTGCGCGGAAGTCTTCTGCGCAGGGAGGGCGTGGGTAGCGGAGGACCCGTGCTCTCCCCGCTGGTGTCCGGTGAAGAGTCTGGGAGCCCTCTCGCCGATTCCCCCATCTGCCCCTCTTTATCCCTGGTGTTGCGCTGAATTGCTTCCCCATCTACTGAGCTGCCTCTCTCCCTGCTTGGCCCTTCTCCAGCATCATTTGAGAGCCTTCCCTCCGCCTCTAGCTCTGATGTCAGTTCCCTGACAATGTGAAACCACTTGGTCATACAACACACACACCCCTCCACGGTCTGAAGTGATACACTCCAAGAACAGTTTTATCATATGACAAGCGGGGTTTGCAAAAACTGGTGTGCTGCTCTTCAGGGTCTCAAGCACTCCACTGCATTCCCACTCTCTGTTTTCTTGTTTTTGCCCAGTCAACATTCCACGGCCACTGAGTATGCTGAGCCCTCTCTCACCACTACCTTGAGCTTCTAGGATACTTTCCCCTAAATGATTGTTGCACTTCTGCAAATGTTGGGTTTTCCCCCCAAGCCTTTGAATACCTCCTTCCTGTGTAAGGGTGGTTCCAACACAGCTACATAATGGAACAGCACTCGCAGCCTGAACACTGAAAATCAAGGGAATGATAAGTGCTTGCTTATCTGCAATACCTCCCATTGAAAGCAAGGAGTCTTAGGACTCTCCACCACTACCACTACTGGCAGGGATGAGATTATTTACAAATCCAGTACCTCCTGATTATTATCCCATTCACATGACAACAGTGGAGAAAGCCTACCATATGATCTGGCTCTATATTAAGGACTCCATTTAAGGGAGTAATTCCATTACCCTATATCTATGGGGCTCTTTCATCGGCATTCAAATGTAAATGACTCCAGCAGAGGGAAATAAATTAGTTATTAGTGTTTACTTCTTTGCTGTATCTGGGAATAATACCAAAATAGACTCCCCTTGGTAATATTTAATGAAAGCAAGCAAATATACCTCCTCCTCCACCCACCAGGCCAATCAATGTTCCTCTGCTTTATTAATCTGTACATCAAACATGTTTGTTTTGTTTTTTTTCCCCAGCCCCAAGCTAAACACATAGGGAGAAACCAGGACAAGCTGGGTCCTCTTGAAATGGATATTTCTACCATAAAAGTTTGCTTTTTTGGAAATGTGACAAATGCACAGCACTGGAGTAAATCTGCTTGCCTAGAGTGATTCTAGTGCACAGATGACCAGGAAAAGAAAAAAGAAAATTAAAAGCATCTGTGCCTTGTTTTAGCAGATCAAGTAATTGACTTGAAAGTAATAACTCCCATTTTAGCATGACATGCTGTGATTATTAGAACAGCTGTGAGGCCAAAAGGCTCAAATTTAATTCCAACATGTATGTTGGAATCACAGGAGCTCTCTGTCATCTTAGCGGGGGGGGGGGGAATAGTGCCCATATTTGCCACCTCTTTTCCTTCTTAATGTATTAGTTGTCCTTTATAATAGAACATAAGAAGAGCCTCCTGGATCATGCCCATGGCCCATCTAGTCCAGCATGCTCTTTTCACAGTGTCTGCTGGAAACCAGCAATCAGGATTTGAGCGCAAGAGCACTCTCCCCTTCTGTGGTCTGCAGGCAGGAGTTGGCCAGGATGATAAGAAAAAGCACAACGGGAAGAGTAAAATAGAGCAGTTAAACTATTCCATAATTCTGGTATTAGACAATAAGCCAGGAACATTTATGAGCAAGTGGGCAAGGGATTTACGGCAGGGACTGAGAACAGCAGAATGGAACTGGATTTGCCAAGAATGATATCAACAGAGCTGGAATAGGTTTTTAAATAAAATTATATATCAGTAGCGTTTAACTCCATACAGCCTTTATGCATATATTCTGACACTGACGGATAATACAGATATGGAGCACAAGCTTTAACCTTATCACAGGAATAATTGGTTATCTATTACCTAACAATCCCAAAATATTGGCATTAAATTAATTGGAAGACACAGCATTAGAGGAAGATTTGGAAGTAATATTAAATCTTATTTCTGTTGCATTCCTAAAGCAGAGGGAGGAGGACAGCACCTCTAGTTTGAGAAGGGTTTGAGTAAATCTGGGACTAAACGTGGACTAAATCTACGTACAAAAGAGCAGTTAATGTATAAAAAAACCATATGGCTGGAATGATGCACATTCTTTATGTTCTGCAATATTTTGTTTTCACCCTTGTTAAAGACAACACAAGCTAAAGAGGTAGGAAGGATGTGAGATATTAGCTGCCAATTAATTTCTGGGCCCAGGTCAAGGCAGTAGTCCTAGTGTTTAAAGCCGTAAATTACTTAAGCCCTAAATATCTAAAAGACCACTTCTTCCTTACAGACCTTCCCAGGTGCTGAGATCAGCAGAGGAAGCCCTCCTGGTAGTTCTACTTCTCTCAGACATTTGGGGGGTGGCCCAGCAAAGGGTATCTCTAAATTATGGAATTCCACCCCCACCCCACCCCCAAGGTGGTGTGTCTGGCTTCTTCTCTATACAACTTTCAGTGAATGAGGAAGAGACACTTATTTACCCTGATGTGTGTTTTTCCAGGGCCTACCCTATGGTAGTGATCTGTTTTTTTAATTTAATTAATTGTTAATTAATTTAATTAATTTTAAAATGTTGCAACCCCCCCTGCGAAGGGCATGCGATACATTTGATGATTATGATGGTCTGATCACTTGCAGAGGGCTTTTGAAACTAAGTCAAAGATAGCGTGCTCACTCCTGTTCTACCAGCTCAGCCATTCACAACCCAAAGATATTATAATGACTGGAGAAAGACCCAGGCTGGCTTTCATCTCCATCCCTGCTTCTCCATTTTTCACAGTGAAAGAGGAGGACGGTAATCACCGCTCCCCGCTTAAAATGGGGGGCGCCCTTTGCGTGGACGCGCGCAGCCCCTAGATCTGGAGCGGCTCCAACAGCATAGGCTTGGTTTGCCTTCCCTCAGGTGGGATACCTGGAGGTCTCCGCCTACCTCAGTCAGTTGTCCAATCCCACCTGGGAAGCGTTGCCAAGGAGACCAGGCCAGGTAGGGAGGGATTACCTGCCCACACAATAGAGGAGGATCTTACCTGGGAATCCTCACTTGGCTCCAGAGCTTCTCCCACCCTACCCACCCTCAGTTAATGTCTTATTTGCAGGTTAACTTTTCTTCACAGGTTTTGCAGGTTAACTTTTCTTCGCAGGTATGCGGGCGCTGCTACGTTAAGGTCGCTGTTAAAGGGCCGGAAAGGAATTTCCCTGCATTGGCAGGTTTCGCCTTTCCCGTAGCAAAACGTCACAACTTTGGCGGTATCAGGCCTTGGGCGGAATCCTTTAGTCCATCTTCCTCTTTGCGGCGGCGATACCAGGGTTCCCCGTTAAAGGGGTTTCTGAAGGGAGGCTTTGACCGTACGCCGAAAGGTCGTCATTGCTCTCCCCTGCGGCGGCGGGGTGGCTAACTCTGCTTGAACATATGTTCTCCAGAGCCAGCCCATCCCCCCACACACACACTGGATAACCCTGATGCTCCCTAGGTCCCCGGCTGGGGATTGGGGAGGGAGAACGCCCAATGCCTGAGGCAAGGTCTACCCACATTTGAAATTTAATAAAGTTGTGGCCAATTTAATCCCATAGCACGTTGTCATGAGTCGTTATTCCACATGACGGGGGGACCGCGTGGGATCTGGGGACTCCGCCTGTCCACGCAAAATGCAGTCCAACAGATGGAAGAGTATCTGGTAGTTGTAGGGTAGGGGGTGAACAAGCAGCTTAGCCTGCAGATGTTTGTGTTGCCACAACCAGCCCAATATATTTTGCTGCCTGAGATAGAGAAAAAGATGATGCACACATCCCACTCCAAATAAGGAAGCTGATTTCAACGCTGGTGATGAGGTAGCATCTCCCACTGCACCTAAGGCAACAGGCCTGGAGACACCATGTGGCAAAAGAAGGAAATGTCTGGGAGGCTGAAGTGTAACAGCTGGAGCAGGGGTCGGCAAGCTATGGCCCGGGGGCCAGATGAGGCCCCTCTAGCTTGAAAATCCTGCCCGTGGGCCCTGCCACCCGCTCGGTCAGTCCCCGTGTGCTGCGGATGCCTTGCCGCATGGGGACTGACCTCTGCGGCTTTGGCACAGCTTCTGGGCGGGCAACAACACTGGCATGGCTTCGGATTGGCTGCAGGAAGCTCCTGCAGCCAATCCAAAGCTGCGGACAGCTCTGGGCAGGGTGCGACACTAGCATGGCTTCGGATTGGCTGCAGGAAGTTCAAAAGGAAGTCCCTTCAGCCAATCTGAAGCCTTGCCACCCGCGCACTGAGGTACACCTGACGCAGCCATGGACGGAGAGGCCAGTGGGCGGTAGGTCTGTGCCACGCCATGGGCTTGGCGCACCTGTTGGCCCCGCGCCTGGCCCCCAGCTTGGCGCTACTGCTGGTGGCGCGCTTGGCAGCCATGCTGGAGCAGCTGGAGGGCAAGCTGCATGCCACCTGCCCAGCGCTCCGCATGCGCGGCCTGCCCATCGACCTGGCCTCAGACGACGGGCCGCAGTACGTGGTGCGCACTGCCCGGAAGCTCCACAGGGACAGGCCAATGGAGCAGCTGCTGCTCATCAACAATGCCGGTGTGCAGGCAGCGCCGATAGGCGCTCCTGAGCATGTACAGAGTGCACTCCTCCTCCAGGTCCAGAGGCAGCTGCGGGACCAGCTTGCAGGGTATTTATATTTTTCAAAATATAGTCCGGCCCCCCACGAGGTCTGAGGAACAGTGGACCGGCCCCCTGATGAAAAAGTTTGCTGACCCCAGAGCTGGAGGCTGCTGTTGCTTCCTCCTCCAATGTATCACCTGAGGCAGTTGGTTCACGCTGTCTGACAGTAGAGCCAGCCCTGTGTGCTGCCCATCAAGAACGTAATCCTGTTGCCTTAAAAAAAAAAAAAAAGCTCTGTTTTCTTTATTTAAGATGCCCTCAGGCCCCTTATAAGTAAAAACTTCCCATCATTTTTTTGCATCCTGTTTGTTTGCCTGCTGTTAAAACTTATCCTCTGTGTTTGTTTTCCCTGAGTAAGTCATTTTTGAGCTCTTTGGTATACTGTTATAAAATGCATGCCACACTCTTGTTTGTAGAGTTTCAAGTCCCGTTGGAAGTAATCATATCAGACAAATAAAGTGAGCAGTTCTCATATTTCTGGCAAAAATAAACTGCTTGCCATTTTCAACTGCATTATTATTTCATTAGGACTCTGTTACTCTGTCCCTCCAAAGGTCCAAATCATGGAAGAAACAAGGCAGAAAATGAAGCCAGTCCAGGAAGCTGCCAAATGCAGTGGAAGGCAAAAGGATTCATTTAAACTCTGGTCAGATGTTTCAGCTTCCAGCTTCCAGCTCTTGTTTACACATAAGAAGAACCTTGCTGGATTAGGCCAAGGCCCAGCTAGTCTAGCATCTTGTTCTCACAGTGGCCAACCAGATGCCCATGGGAAGTCCACAAACAGCACAGGAGTGTAACAGCACTCTGCCCACCTATAGGCTGTGAGGAAATATACTTTTCTTTTGTCTGCCCTGAATCTCCCAGCATCCAGCTTCATTAGAAGATCTCATGTTCTAATGTTATGAGAGGGGAAGAAAAACTTTTCTCTATCTACTTTCTCAAGTTGTTTTATGATGGTCATGTGTTGCAGAGGAAAGTCCTCTGTTTGAAGGGCTGCCAGGGAACAGCCTTCTGTTTGAAACACCATCTGGTACAAATAAGATATGGGAGATCAGGAGCCTTGAATCTGCCCACCAGGCCTATCCCAAGACTTCTAACTACCTGAGTCGAAAGACAGCATGGGGCTCCCCCATTTTAGGTACATTTTGTGCCCATCAATCTTACAGGTGGTCATATGATCAGGGCTTCCTATTTATTTTCCTATTTATGCAGCCATTGCACAACATCAGACCTGGTTATGCCACTGAGTGCATCATCAACAAGGACCTGCAAACCATTTCTAACAATCTCCTTTATAAGTGTGCCTATGCATACCTATGTTTGCCTTCGCACTGCATGATGAGTTGTACATCCTTTTATATATTCTGTTTTGTATATTGTGCTTTGAGAGACTTTACTTTTGAAAATTTTGAGACGTCTTCTGTTGAAACTTTTGAAAGACTATTGTGAGACTGTCCTTAGACTTCTGTTTTGAACACATGGCTTAACGGTCCTCGCTACCACTCTGTTATATTGTACATATGAACTTTGATTGGCTTATTCCTATAATTTGAATGATATCATTATTCTATTATATATTCTCTACTAACTATCAGCCTACGTGTTGTGTTTGTATTGTTGTGATTGGTTCTTATTGCAACACAGGGGTTTGTTTTTGGTTCATCAGTGGGCTGGCCTGCATAATCTTCATTATTTGGCCCTTTTACTCTTTAAGTAGTCTGATGTCTGCTTAAAGGTTGCCTTTTCTGGATCTCTGTGGGACTATAGTCCTGTTTATCAGCTGCCCAAAGTATCTGGTTGGTTCCTATCAGAAGACAGGCCTTTGGTCAGATCCAGCAGGGATGTTCTGAAGGATGAACTAAGGCTAGAGGAGCTTCTCAAGGATGAACTAAGGCTAGAGGAGCGACTCAAGATATAATAAAACTCTGGTGTATTGCCCTTATGGAAAAACTGGTGCAGAAAAGAGGAACAAAGCACAATACACCTTTCCTGGAGAAGGGAGGTGCTTTATTTTATTTGCAAAAACTCCAGAAAACCAAAGGCCAATTCCAAAGCTTCATACTGACTTGTGGATCAATTAATAGGAACATGCTTTACATATGTATCCTGCAATGTATGCACAAGAACACAGATTTTCATAATATGCTTTAGAGAGGTTTCCAGGGAAAACTTTGTTGGGTTTGCTGGGAATGGGTTACCTTTGTTTGTGCAATACATATGCAGTGATTCCAAAAATAATTCCAATAAAAAATTATTATTATTTTTAAAAAAAAACTCTGGAGGGAAAGAGGGGAATTAGTAGAGCATATGTATTTCATTTTTGCTTCTCTAGCAGATGGGCAGCTATTTCATTACTTATGAATCTTCGGTATCAGCTAAGAGATATGAGCCAAACCCAGAGGGAAGACTTATTCAATAATGTATGGTGATGCTTTCAGGGGGTGCAGAGACAGCTTGAGTGAGATATGCAGAGAGGAGTGGAGGGCAGAAACTTAACATTGCCTGATTGCTCCCTGTGAATTCAGTCTTAATGTATCCCACCTGAGTTGCCCTGCCCTTCCCATCTTCAGTCACTGGAATGCAAGTGTCTTGAAACCACCCAGAAGAAGCCTTGGGAACCATGCTTATCTAGTAGCCTTTGGGCATAGATTGGGCTCTCCATTCCACTGAGAGCTGGAGGATTATTATGACAGCAGGAAACTTCCTGCCTGCAGGAAATGGTGATATCCCATTTGGTGGAAATGAGATGCTTGTCATCACACAGTAGCTCGTGGTATTCGACTGATAAATGTCTTCCATATTCTCATTTGTGTACTGGGAACAGGAGGAGGTGGTGCTCTGGTGCTAGTTGTGCATCATGATTTGGATCCTTCATCAGTTTCCAGGCAGTAAGGAAAAGACATCTTATTTACTTGGCTTGTTAAAAACTTCTTGTCCCGGCTATATAATTGGATTCTTCGTCAGGATCCAGCTTAGAAGGTTTTCCTGCTCTTTTGTAGGAAAAGTACATTTTTTATTTGTTACGGTTGTCAACATATTCAAGTTAATTGATTAACTGGAGTGGGGGTGGAAGCAAGGCAGTTAATATATCAACCAAAGTGAGCATTGCAAAATGTCAGCATGAGCAATATTTCAAGGATCTTTAATGAAGATCCTTCAGAATATGAATTCATGAAAGAGGATAAAATTGCACTATGAAGAGTTCCCAACTCACTTTCAGACCGAGTGTGGGTTGGACACCCAACCAGCCAAGTTTGGGGATCGGTGCAGGAATCAAAGAATGGATGTTATGGGGAGGGGAACTTGAGCATCAGTAGTAGTTAGAGCAAGGAGAGGAAAATTTCTCACCAAATTACAGTTCCCATTATCTCTTATTCATGGGCAATGGTAGCTGGGACCAATAGGACTTGAAACCTAACAGCCTATGGAGGGCCCCATGCTGGCTATCCCCAGCCTAGGGGCAAGTACTGCAGTCTAGTGCTGGAAAGGGAGAAGTTCCAGAGACAACAGTCAATTATGGAATTTGTTCCCACAAGGCATAGCTATAGCCATCAATTTGGGTGGCTTTATAAGAGGATGGGATGCGGGTGGCGCTGTGGGTTAAACCACAGAGCCTAGGGCTTGCCGATCAGAAGGTCGGCAGTTTGAATCCCCGCAACGGGGTGACCTCCTGTTGCTCGGTCCCTGCTCCTGCCAACCTAGCAGTTTGAAAGCACATCAAAGTGCAAGTAGATAAATAGGTACCACTCCGGCGGGAAGGTAAACGGCGTTTCCATGTGCTGCTCTGGTTCGCCAGAAGCGGCTTAGTCATGCTAGCCACATGACCCGGAAGCTGTACGCCAGCTCCCTCGGCCAATAAAGCGAGATGAGCACCGCAACCCCAGAGTCGGCCACAACTGGACCTATTGGTCAGGGGTCCCTTTACCCTTTACCTTTATAAGAGGATTAGACAAATTCATGGGCGATATGGCTCTCAGTGGTTACCAACCCCAATGGCTATGTTTTACCTCCACTATCAGAGGCTGTATCCCTCTGAGTACCTGCTGTGGGAATCACAGGTGAGGGATCTTCTTACATTCTTAAGACATCCACCAAAGTTCATAATTTTAATACAGCATTTCTAACAATTAGAAATAAATCATGAAAAGGATGCTGAAGAGCTGTTTCTCAGGTTCTGCCTGCCCACTGTATGTTGCTATTCTGCTTTCTACTTAGGAGAAGGCCATCTCTCAGTGGTAGAATGTCTCTTTTGCATGCATAAGGTCCCAGGTTCAATCCCCAGCAGTTCCAGGTACAATTGGGAGAGACTTATGCCTGAAAATGTTGTGTAATGCTGCCAGTCAGTTAAGACAATACTAAGCTAGATAGCCCAAAGGTCTAACTCAATATAAGGCAGTTTTCTCTGTTCCTATTTTTCACTAAGTCATTATATTTGCTTCTCCACACCCCTGAATGGGAGATCCTAGCTAAGTACAGTAAAATCCAGACATTATTGCATTGATTGGGGGTGAAATGCTGCCTTGGAGGGGCATAGCCTAGTGGTAAAGCATCTGCTTTGCATGCAGAAGTTCCCAGGTTCAATCCCCAGCATCTCCAGTTACGTCTGCCAGTCATTGTCGATAATGACTTAAGACCAAGTGGGCAGCTTCTGGTGTTTCTGGTGTCACAGGTCACCAAAGTCAAAGAGCCACAGGTGGAAAAAAATACATGCTCCCTGCAAAAATAGGGTGCCCACTTCTGCATTGCCAAAGAAGAGGAGATGCATCATCAGGACACATATTTGCAAACAACTTGTATATGCCTACTCATGTGTACAGATGTAAAGTTTAAAAGTACAGTGGTACCTCAGGTTAAGTACTTAATTCGTTCCGGAGGTCCGTTCTTAACCTGAAACTGTTCTTAACCTGAAGCACCACTTTAGCTAATGGGGCCTCCCACTGCCGCCATGCCGCCGGAGCACGATTTCTGTTCTCATCCTGAAGCAAAGTTCTTAACCCGAGGTACTATTTCTGGGTTAGCGGAGTCCGTAACCTGAAGCGTATGTAACCTGAGGTACCACTGTAATTACTATACATGATTTAAGCAAAAATACATCTCACCACAAGGGGGAAGATGGTGACAATATGACCTACTTGCTTGCTCAGGGTGCTGTCCAAATGCTAACATCTGATGAGTGACTGCAAATCACCTCCTGCTATCCCTTCTTTAAACTGGACTTGGGACTGGAGAACCCATCAAACAGAGGACGCCTTCAAACAGACTACTGTCCTCTGACTCTTCTCAGTGAATTAGGACACCCGGCCAAAAAATCTAAAGGGGCCAGAGGGCTGTAATGTCAATCAAGGAGGTCAAATTTCGAATGTCAGCAGTACAGAGGAAAGCAGCAAGAGTTTAGACATGCAGGGTATTTTCTGATGGGCAAACTGCTCAGGCAGAGGAATCAGTTCTGAGGCTGGGATTGTGAGAGAGGGACTGGTCCTTGGAGTCAGCTGACAGAGTACACAGTGAGGTGATAGAGCTGTTAGGGTGACCTAGGTGGTAACCTTGGAGCACTAAGTTCAACCTGCCTGGCTTATTGTTGAGATTTGGGGGTGCAGGAGACAGGTTGCCAGAGCTTGGCTCGTGGCAGCTATGGTCTGAGATGCCCCAGCAACATCCCAGCATCTTACATACTATTGGTTGGTAAACTACAACCTCAAATACATCAAGGGCTACATATACAATGTTTACAATTGCAGAGCTCAACAGCATGTCCCTAGAAACGACTTGAATTTTAAGATCTGCATATATATTTTTATGATTAATAAACTCTTTAAGTGCAGCCATGAAACAGACCAACGCTTCTTGGCCTTTTCACATACCATACACAAATCCTGCCCAGCCACTTTGCATTAACCTTCACAATCATTTACTGGAGTTTTTGTGCGTGTGCGTGTCGGGGAGGGGAGGAGAAGCATGGATCAAAACCTCCTTTAAAAAAACAAATAAAACTTCCCCCAGCCTTCTCTTCAGAACTGCAGCAGATCAAAAGCCCCACAGCTCACGCAAATGGTAGATCTCCATATCACTGCTACATATTGCAGATTAGACTGCAGGGAGCAAATGTAGCAATTCCATCAAAGGATTCACAACAAGGTCAAAGCTTATGTCATCAGAAACGCAAAACATGAGAAGCAAAACACGTGGCTTTCAGCAAGGAGTTTGTTCCGCTGATACACACTTTTTGGCTCGCTGAGGACATTTTGGTCTCAGATTATCGTGCCGGAGGGTACACTCTGTGCTGACCTTCCTTCCACAATTAGAAGGAACACAAAATCTTCCAGCTTTAGATGAGCGGGTGGGGGAGCAAAAAGCTCCTGATGCTGTATTTACTCATTGATAATGTAACATCAACCTGCTTAATCAATACCGCACAGAACACAGTCAGCAATTTAGGTTTCTCACTGCATTATTCTCCTGTTCTGCTCACTAGGAAATGAGAAAATACTGCTGCAAGGCTCGAAGCGTGATCTATATATAAAAATATGAATCAAGAGATGGCATCAATGCCAAAATCTCTCAGGAAACATTTTTCCCCCTGAAAAAACAACAACTGAGATGTTCCTTTTATTCTCACCCTGCCTACTAGATCAGGTGTGGGGAACCTTTGGATCTCCATATGTTGCTCAACTACAACTCCCATCATCCCTGCCCATTGGCTGTGCTTGCTGGGACTGATGGAAACTTTGGTTCAGCAACCTATAGAGATACCGTAGAGGAAAAGATTGCCACATTCATAATTTTATTCAAATATTATCTGTGTGTGTGTGTGTGTGCGCGCGCGCGCACTCTAGCTGCCATTCTCCCACACATGTGCTAGAACAATGGTACAAGGCATTATAGAGGATACAAAATGGTAGTGAGGCTGCCAAGGTAGCTGGTAGTTTTGCCACTTGTGGTTCTGGTACTGCTTTCAGGTTCCCCACCGGCATTTGTTTGGCTACTGAACTAGATGGGCCTTTGGCCAGTTTCAGCAAGTTTTTTCTCATGTTATTATGTGCCATTGCCACTGCTGATGGTGAGCCCAGGCCGTGAGAAACTCATAGAGCAGGGGTGACCAAACTTTTTTCAAAGAGGGCCAGATTTGATGGAGTGAGGGCTGACCAAAGTTATTGAGCTTTTGTTAGGATTGAAGTTGCTGAGCTTTTGTTATGATTTTACCCTAGGACATATACTGCCACAGGGGCCTGATTGCATGGACCGGTGGCCCATATTAGGCCCCCAAAGCAGACTTTGGACATGCCTGTCATAGAGGATTTGTCTTCCATCAGGGTCAGCTTGGTGAAATGGTTTCCCAAAGTTCTCTTCCCACAAATAAAGTTAGACAATTTCAAGAAGCCATTTGCAGACAGCTCCGGTAACCAGGCACTTCCATCCAGTGCCTGATCCACATTAAGTTCTTGATTATGAATAAAATTTCCAGGGTTATTAATCCAAATTGTTTCTGCAACAGAATGTGGGATTTACCCATGATTAAAGCTGATAATTGAATTTTTGGGAAGCAGCAGTGGGAGAGGACTTGGCTTTCAAGCTCTGCTTGTTGGCTTTCCAAGGGAATCTGGTTGGCATTTGTAGAAAGGAGAATGCTGAACTAGATGGGACATTTGGTCTCATTGAGCAGGACTCTTCCAATGTTCTTATAAAACCCCCAATGATCTGAACAGGATTGGATAGAAGGAGGAGGAGGAGGAGGAGGAGTTTGGATTTGATATCCCGCTTTATCACTACCCTAAGGAGTCTCAAAGTGGCTAACATTCTCCTTTCCCTTCCTTCCCCACAACAAACACTCTGTGAGGTGAGTGGGGCTGAGAGACTTCAGAGAAGTGTGACTAGCCCAAGGTCACCCAGCAGCTGTGGAGGAGCGGGGAAGTGAACCCGGTTCACCAGATTATGAGTCCACCACTCTTAACCACTACACCACGCTGGCTCCCCATGACATGAAGCTGCATTGTTCCAAGTTTGTCCATGGATCTATCCAGGCCAGCATTTTCTACTTGGATTGGCAGTGGATCTTCAGTGTCTCAGACGCAGGTCTTTCCAAGCCCTTTTACCAAAAGATCCTTTCAACAGGAAATGAGCAAACAAACTACGTGTCCTGCCACTAAAATATTTACACTGGAAGCTGCCAGTGGCCCATCTAGCAGCTCTCCAGGGTTTCAAATAGGGGACTTTTCTCCACCTACCTGGTGATGATGTAGATTAAACCTGGGGCCTTTTGCAGGCAAAGCAGGGTCTCTTTATCTGAGCAATGGTCCTTCCTCTAAAAATCAAGTAAGTTTCCAGTCCTCATGGTTCTGAATTAAGGGCAGAATAAAGTTAGGAATATAAACAATGACTGTCTACTGAGTCTACCATTGGCCCGTCCGGTTATGTATTATCTATGCCAGCCTTTCTCAACTTAGTACCCTCCAGGTCTTTTGGACTACAGGTAGGAAAGACTGTTATGTACTGACCAACAGTGGTACTCCAAGGTTTGAGACAGAGGCCTACCAAGGGATGTCAGGGAATAAATCTGGGATCTTTTACATGCAAAGTAGAGCTCTGGCACTTCTCTCTTCTATTAGTATTCTATTTGTAATAGTATTTTATTTCTAAATAGGTTTTGCTTGTAGCAATCCCTAGTTGTCCATGGGACTGCTGTGTTACCCATGCAAGACCTCAGCCTCAAGATTTTCTGTGATTGTTACAATTTCATATTAAGGGTCTTTTAAAAAATCTATTTATCCAGAAATGCGGCAAACTCATCCCTGAATCATTTAATAAACATTTGCATCTCGCTTGATCAAAGAAACTATTTTCTGTTTATAAGAAGAGATAGAGGCTTCCTCAGACGTTTATTCAGACAGTCAGCTAAAATCGATTGGTATTCCAGGAGTATAGCGCCGAAAAAGATAAAGGGGACAGGGAACAAGAAATGAATTCAAAAGCTCATAAATCATAATGTACAAAGCTAAATATACATGATTTCACAGTAATGGAAGCATTTTATTGCATCGCTGCTTCAACATAGAGCTTAGTATGTTTGTGCAGTTTCCCTACAGAATGGACGCTTTTGCCAAATGCAAGGCAGATCTCTTTAAGGAGCTAAAATAACTTATTAAGATGGAAAGAATGAAAGAAAAACCAATTGAGTTGCGGTTCTAGAGGAAAAGAGGAAAACAACAGAAGACAAATTGTAAAAGAAGAAATAATTTTGACTAAAGAAAGGATCTGTAGTTGAGGCCTATTTGGGCATTCATGCTCCATGTTGGAGTGGGTTTGCACAGGTCAACTTGTGTTTGTACAAAGAGCACAACTGCCCATAGCAGCAGCTGTACACGTGAAGCTCCACCCCTATGGACAGTTGCATGCTTCACATCAGAGGTGCCCAAACTTTTTTCAAAGAGGGCCAGATCTGATTATCTGAACATGCATGAGGATTGAAGTTGTGAAGCTTTTTTAGGATTGAAGTTTACCCCAAAGTTATTGAGCTTTTGAGCTTTTTTTTTATTTTTTAGGATTTTACCCCAGGACATATACTGCCATGGGGGCCGGATTAAATTGACCGGCAGGCTGGA